TGCAGCGCTAGTCGCTGCTGGGTTAGAGACAGAAGAGGATAGATAAAGATAGGGAATGGTGAATTGGGAAAGTCGGTCGATTTTTGTGGGCGTGGACGTCGTCGGCTGGCTTACCGTGGGAGCCGACCCCCAGCTGTGTGTCTCCGTGACTCGATGTCTGGGTCGCCCGGGGTAATCCCGCTATACGCTACGATTGACGAACACTACACGTCATTACGTGTGTCTGTGTCGCCCGGAGTAATCGCTCTATACGCTAAGATTGACCAACACTACACGTCGTTACGTGTACGCACGCGCGCGCGCTGCGCAATAATGCATTCATTGACTGGCCGCTGGCATTGCGCTAAGCGCTGCTAAGCGGCATAATGCGGTAGCCTTATTGACTCGGATCGAGCATCCGTAGACGAGCCGCACGCTGGATGCATGCTGGATGAAAGCTGCCGGCGACAGAGACGGCGTCTGCTCTAGTGTATAGATATAGGGAGAGAAAGTACATCTACGGAAGACAGCGGCTGCTCTAGTGTAGAGATAGAGAGAGAAAGTACATCTACGGAAGACAGTGGGTGTACTTCATAGGGCGTCATATGCCTGTGTGAACTAGACGAGTGGGTGGTTGGAAGGATAGAGGGAACGTGTGGAGGGGTGGGGGCGTTTGGAAACGATTGAGTAACGATCGTCGGCGGATGGCCGGAAATACGGTCCGAAAGGAGGTTGCAGCGGCAGCGTCGCTACGCAACCCCATCCGCAGTCGACGCATATGAGTGGTTTCCGCTTGAACTCTGGCGAAGCCTGCTGAGTTCCTTTAGTAATTACGGCAACGTCTGGGAGAGAGAGAGAGAGAGCGCGCGCACGCGTGTGTGTTAGAGAGGGAGAGGGAGAGATAAAGAGAGAGAGACAGAGCGAGGGAGAGAAAGAGAGCGAGAGCGAGAGAGAGAGAGAGAGAGAGCGCGCGCACGCGTGTGTGTTAGAGAGGGAGAGGGGGAGAGAAAGAGAGAGAGACAGAGCGAGAGAGAGAAAGAGAGCGAGAGCGAGAGAGAGAGAGAGAGAGCGAGGGAGAGAGGGAGAGAG